CGGTCCCTGGGCTTTGCTAAGCTTGTTCTAAGTAGGTGCTTTAGACCACTGAGCCATCTCACCAGCCCCCTCCTTTGATTTTAGTAGCAACTACATTGGACATCTTCCTGTGTCTACTTAATACCTGTACTCCCATTTCCAGGGCCACCACATGGTCAGCTTTTTACAGCTCCTGTGGGCAAGGGACTTTGGGATGGCCTGTACCCATGGAGGTGGATGCCAGGGAAAAATGGTCCTGCCTCTGCTCCTAGGTCTCTTTTTTTTTTTCCTGGAGATAGGGTATCACTGTGCAGTTCCGGCTAGCCTTAAACTCACTATGATGTAGTCCAGGCTGGGCTTGAACTCATGGTGATCTTTCTTTTTCTTTTTTTTTTTGTGGCTGGCTCAGCCCAGCATAGGGGTGGGGCTGGGTATTGATCCTTGGTCCCTGTGAGCTTGCCTAAACTTGCCTAGGCAGGCGCTCTAGACTGCTGAGCTATCTTGCCAGCCCATGGTGATCTTTCTACCTCAGCTCCCAAGTGCTGGAATTAAGATGTGTGCCACCATGCCCAGCATCTCTCATGTTTGCTCCCCTCACTTCCTAGGCCTGTGGTACCACAACTGTTAACCTCAAGACCTAGTAATAGTCTCTGCTCTGGGCAGACTGCAGCTCAGCCAGTTTCCATGGGGTCGCTTTCGGTCTTGCTACAGATGTCTGAATATATATAGTCTCTTTCAAGGAGTTCTTTCAAGATTGTCTTTGTGAAACTGGGGATGTAGCTCAGTAAAGGAGCATTTGCCTAGCATGTCCAGCCCTGGGCTCAATCCTCTGTCCTGAGGACAAAAAAAAGACAGACTGTCTATACTTGGGGATAGTAAGGACCAGGGAACAATACTGTTCTTTTTCTGTAGATTCCACCTGGGATTCAAACAGACCAGAAGATTTGCTTGACTGGGAAAGGCATTCCCCGGATTAACAGCTATGGCTATGGTGACCACTACATTCATGTCAAGGTCAGAGTTCCAAAGTAAGTTCTGCAAGGGCATCAGATCCTGCATACAAGGGTGGGGGGATTTGGCTCAACAGCAAAAGTGCCTGCCTGGCAAGTACAAAGTCCTGAGTTTGATTCCTGGTACCAAAAAAAAAAAAAAAAAAAA